TAGATTCCGAACTATTGCGCCTGCGGTGGCGTGAGCTGCAAAGGTGCTGCAAAGCACCTTCCAAAGTCATCCAAAAAAAAAAAAAAAAAAGAAAGAAAAGCCTCTCTGAAAGGGCTGTGGGTGATGTTACTTTCCTATGGTGGCGTAGTGCCAAGAGGCAACATAAATAGGAAGCGCTGTAATTACTGCTGGCTGAGGCTGTACGTGGAATATGGCTGCAGATGCTGCCACGCTAAACCCGTGACCTGACTTCTCTGACCAGAGAAATCCTCTGAAGTAACGTGCCCCTCCCTCGCCATCGGCAGGCAGGCATGAGTGGAGGGGAAGGGACCATGACCGGGTGCTTTAAGAAAACCAAACGCTGAAGGTTTCCAGGCCTCCCGTGAGCAACGTACACCCAGTGGTTGCTCAGCAGCAGCACTTGCTCCCCAGTATCTTTCTTTTTTTTGCAGTTAAGTCCAAAAAGAGAAATGATCAGAATGCTCGGGGTGCTGGTGTGCTGCTTGGTCTCGCAGCAAAGCCTGTCTTTGTGCTGCTCGCCATCGCGTTGGCAGGACCTGAGCCCTGGGAGGAGGGCTGGACCTCGGCTGCCACGCTGCGCTGGAATGGTGTGCGAGTGGGTGATGCAGAACAGGTTTGTCACACTCAAAGCAGATGCTGTGGCCTAAAAACTGCCAGTCAGGGCTCTGGGGTACTGCCTGTAGCTGCTCACAGGGTGTTGCTCTTCCATGAACATCCTAATGCTGTTCCCAGCTCCTGTCAGCTGTACCAGCAGGTATTACACCGGTAACAGTGGTCTGGCTTCTCGGCACATTACAACTGCCTATCTTCAGAGTATGAATAAATGTATGTATGTATGTGTGCTTGTTTAAAGATCTTTGAATGAACAAAGCTGAATGTTCCTGGTTTTGTAATGGCTCTGCAGCTCTGGCTTAATTAACGTCTGGAGTTCATGGAGGCGCTCCCAGGACTGTGAGAAATCATCTGGTCCTTCCCCACAGCCGCCGACGGGCGGGACACTCGGGTACCCTGGATGGACCATCAGTTCAATCGTTACCGTCCCGCTCTGTGGCGTCGGGTGTGCGGGCGAGGGCGCCTTGGACGTGAACTCCACGATGGCAGTGTCGATGGCGCTCCAGATGTTACTGACAGACATGTTCTTGCCCATGGTACTCAAACCTATGTATATGTCTGGCCACCTGTAGCCAGAGGAGGGAACACTCATATGAATGCTAACGAGGTAGCTAGAAAAGAGTCTGTTACATCCAGTGGATTATGAATCAAAATGTACCTAAAACTTAAGATAGAAAGGGAGGGGGAAGGTGGGTGTTAAAACTTTTAACTATAAACAAAAGTAAAACCAGAACAAGCCAGTAATGCTTTTTCTTTCCTTATTGAAACCAGGATGCTATTTAAAGCAGCAGTTCTTCAGTCTGACAGAAAGTCCCAGCAAAGCCCCAGTACCGGTACTGCTATTATTACTGTATTTATGTGTACTGCGTCACAGCGCAAGCGTTGCTTGGCATCTGTGAGCTTACAGGTGCATTTTGTTGGCGCAAAAGGGAAGAGCAGAGCTAAACTGAGAAATACCACGCTATCAAGATAACTTACTATTGCTAGGCCAATTAAAACCTGAATAACCACCATCTCTTGATAATAACCCTCAGCTAAGTGGAAACAAAAAATGACTGAAATACAAATGGAAGCCACCCTGCTAACAAACCATTCTGCTAGAATGTATCAAAGACCCATCATAAAAACAACACTGGACAAAACATCGTTACTGCTAAAGACCATACAGATAAGAGGACACCAGCTGGAGGCTGGTTTTTGTGTAGCTTCAACACAATTCGTTGTTCTAGTCTGGCTACAAACCTCAGTTCTTGTAGCATGGTGCGTACAAGCCCAGGAGGGCTGTGCAAGTCTGTGCGAGGGCAGAATGAGACAGGTTTTGGAAGAAACCAAGGCTGGGGCCTTTACCTGCTTAATCAAGGAAGAGCCCAGCTGAACACTCAGCTCTGAGAATTTGCAGGACTTAGGAAAAAAAAGTTTAACTTTTTTAAACTGTAAACTGACTAAACTTGCTAATGCCTCGTTGCTATGCAGTAAGCAGTCTCGCGCTCTCCAGTGCCATAAACTGAACTCCGGGGGCTCGGTGCGGTACCTGTTTGCACAGATGCTGAAAATGAGTTGCAGAGCTGGGTTCCCTGTGACTTCAGATGACCACGCTCTTCTCATTTTCCTGGGTTTCCCTGCATTGCGTTTCTCCTGTAAGAGCCTGGCCCTCCTCGCCTGCCCCGACGCCAGGAGCCAAGGCGGAGCGGCGCGGTGCCGCACGGTATAAATGGGCAGGTGGGGGCAGCCCTGCCAGTTCCCCCCTGCTCCCCTGGAGAGGTGGATCACCGCAGCAGCGGCTCTCAGAGGCAGATCAGCACCCCCCTGCCCCTTCGGTAGCGCGGGGAGCCCTGCAGCGTGCGGGTTTCCGCTGTTTGTCCCTGTTGTGAACCGGCCCTGAAAGGAGGCTTACTCCTGATGAACTGCTCTGTGAGTTGCTGTGCCCTTCTCTCCCTCAGAAACGGGCTGTTCGAGTACTGTCTGTGTGCTCTGGCTGGAAAGAGCACAGTGAAATGCCAGCCTGCTGCTAGTGTGCAGAACAATTCATAAAAAATTCCAAGAAAAGAATTTCTTCAGTCGACTGAGAAAGTAACGAAATCTGCCCCAAAGGACAGGTGACTGCAACGGTCTCAAATGAAATGTCTTTAACACATAAAACACTATCTGATTTAAGCTTTTTAGAAAAGTATGTTATTGGGGGAAGGGTTCAGCTTTTTGGGTTTGGCCCCTGAGATGCAGGACACTGACAAGACTTTGCTTAGAGCAGGGATCACCTGCTGTGGCCTGCAAGCTGAGCTTCTTGCCTCCCCTTAACAACAAACACTTGTTTCTAATTAGTCTCTTTCCTGCTACTTAAAACCCTTTCTCCACTACTCTAGGGAGATGAAAAGTTATTTCCTGAAAACTTTCCCTCAATCTTACTTTTAAAATTCCAGTGTTGATGCAGCACTTCAGCCTACAGATGCCAGGCTAATGCTGCTTCACTTAGAAAGGCTGAGAAACATACCCTGAAAAGAACAATCCCTTTCAGGTGGGAAGTGAGTCATCTCTGTTCAAACAAATGTGCTTACCAGCACTTTTCTACTCCTGCTGATTTTTTGCTGAACCTTCTTATAAGCCCTGAAGTAGAAAGAGAAAGGTGGTGTTCCATTCTGAAAAGATACTATCAGGAACTGGTAAGATCTTAAAGCTCTGTTACAAAAAGGATGAGTAATGCCTGTCTTACCTTATTCCATGCCTTGTAAACACATCCACTGTGTTAAAAGAATCTTCTTCTACTCCCAGATAAAAGTCCATTAGGGATGGTGGAATCCAGTCGCACTGATGAAGGCCTGGCTCTATTGGGACACGTGTGTACCTAATCCCATATTCCTCTAGCACCTCTGCAAACACGTGCCTGACCTCTGTAAGTAAAAACAGGGACACTTTAGTCAGGAATTAGCTAACCAGCTCATCATGTCCCCTGAAAGCTGTTAGGACAGAGATGTCTTTTCTTTCCATGTTTAAGAAAATGTAATCCCATTTGGCTTCTCTTCTGCTGAAATGGTTTCTTCATCTGGACAGGAGTCCCCTTCTATACTGGAAACAATACTCCCTCACATCTGCTATAGGTGCCTTGTCTCCCCTTCAGTGCTGAGCATTTAGTCCAGCAACCCCTTCTAAGTTAGTGACTCTGGTCCTAGAGTGCACCAGAGGTGACTGCACTGTCAGGAACAAGTTCTTCTTCAAGTCCCTGCACAGCCAGATTTGTTGTGAGGGTAAATTGCCAAGAGTGATATGGCAGCTCAGTGCTGGAGTGGGGAAATCTGTCAGCATAGAGACCTGCAGACAGAGATTGGTGTGGAAACGCAACTGACAGGATGGAGTTTTAGCACCTGAAAGAGCTACCAGCTTTCCCAGACTCAAGCATTCCAGTTTAAACTGGCCAGTCTGCTGCTGGCCCTGGCCTGCCTCCTTCAGTGTGGGCAGGAGCATGGAATTAGGATGCTGAGGTGAATTATCAGTCCTTGGAGGAAAAGGTGTAACCTGGGCCATTTGTGCCATTAACCTCCTTGTGCTGCTATGGGAAGACCCAGGTCACCAACCAGCCAATTTGGGCCCAGGTGGGAACATTCAAACTGCAACTGTAGAGCAAGTATCTTACAGTGAGGTTTACCGCCCAAACAGGGAGCCGTGGCAAGGGGGGTCCCCTCTGAGCTGACTCTCCAACTCTCACCTGCTCGGCGCTGGGAAGAAGAGGACTCCCTTCTTACCTGGGAGGACGTGGACGTGCTGGTGCCCATCCATGTGAGGAGGTAGGTGACCTGTCAGCTCATGGAACAGCTCCACCTGGGCCTTTAGCTCCTGCTTCACCTGCGCAGCAGAGAAGGGTGAGAGCAAGACCTGTCAGCAGGCTGAGATCAGGAGAGCAGAAGGGGGCTGCTGGAGACCTTGCTGGCCAGGACTCGGGACCTGCCCCTCGAAGGCACAAGGTGCTGTGATGTATAATCAATGCTGCTGGGTTGCCCAGAACCTCCCCTAGGTGTGGGTCTCTTTATGGTACTGGTTATGTGGATGGTGCCGATACTGGGATTTTCTAAAATACATAGGATATTTGAATACCCGTTTCCCTTTAAAATGAATGGGGAAATGTGTGCTCATATCCCATAGGCAGTTTTAATCACCTGAACACATTCATCCTTGCTCATGGGGCAAAACCAGCCATCTCCCTAGAGAACAAAAGCCTCTCACAAGGTGATGAAAAGCCTACTGCCTACTTAGCACTTCTCTGGCATTTTCCCTTTACCGATCTCTAGGTTCTTTGTAAGTATCTGTTCCAATGCCTCTTCTGCCCCCTCAGATAAATACTTAGCAGGACATTAGTGTACACAGGTACTGAAGCAGGGAGGAATGAGTTCTCAAAGGCTGCAGAGCCCTTGGCAGAATTAGGCCCAGGACACAGAAAGCCAGCTCCAGCTGCCTGGGCAACACAGTTAAGATTCATCTCTAAGCTTACTTACAACTGGGACCTGGGAAAGATCTTCAGCTGTTATGTGCTGGGGTAAGTGCAGGCTGATCTGTATCAGGAAAGCAAGTTGCTTGGTTGTATATGGCCTTTTCCTACCTCTGACATATTCAGGAGACCTTTTGATAGAGCTGTTCTGAATCCCATTTTCCCATGGAAGAATCCGTCTTGGTTGAGCAGAGAAGAGTTTGTCTTGAGCACCTCACATACAGGAGAGCCCTCGGAGAGGTTGGCATGCAGGCCTATTGGGATGTTGTATCTGTAATAGGAATGAAATATCTGTAATAGGAATGAAATATCTGTTAAGCTTTGCCCTTCCACCTCCCTTACGGTGGCCAAAGGGGGAGATTTCAGTGAAAGATCTAGACTGATCTAAGAGTGGTGGTGTACTCACTGGAGTGCGTCTTTGTATCTCTGCTCTTGTAGAAAGTAAAGCAGAACAACACTAATCAGAGCAGAATATCTCCAGGTAGAAATCCTGTGCAGTCTGCCAAGGGCCAGCCTGTGAGACTCCAACTCTGTTCTCACCCTGACTCCTACGGAGAGAGCAGCCATGAGGTATCTCAGGCTAAATGCTGTAACTGCATTAAAACGCTCCAACTGCACTACGTGCTATAACTGCATGCTACTAGTAACTGCCCTGCAGTCACTAGTGACTAACAGAGAAATCTGGACCTTGCAACCCTTTTCTAAAGCACTTCATTAGCCCTTGCTAGGTACTCCCTTGAGTTATTTACCCTGTTAGAGATGCTACATTTGTGAGACATTTGAGTTTTACTTGACAACTTCTAAAGCTGCCCTAGTAGAATCCAGTCGTGTATAAACAGTGCCCAAGGCAGCTGTTATGGCAACAGCATAAGCTACAAGTGTAAATACTGTCCGAGTTTAAGGGTTTCCTGGTCCAAGAGGCTGCAGCTGAAATTGCCTGCAGTGGCCAGGTTTCTGTCTAGTGCTGCAGGTGATCACTCACGGAGTGACAAGGCTAAGCTGTAACAAGTAGCATCTCTGGCACAGATGAAGGATTACTGCAGGGAGGTCAGCAGTGTAAGTGTAGAGCCTTGCTAAGGAATCACAAGGGTACAATTTATTAACTAGTTGCACTCCACAACATTAAAAAAAAAAAAAAAAGAAAAAGAAAAGAAACAAACTATGGAGCTAGTGTATCTGCAGAGCTCCTCTCAGCCACAGGGCTTTGCATGGTCTGTGCTATGGATTCCCCTACAATAAAAACAGGACCTGCGAGTGCTCAGATTTGTGCCGAGTTTCATTAGCATTTCTGGAAATCCTCAGAATCAGCGGCCAAAATGATGCTTTGAAACTTCTTCCAAGACAACCCCTGGCCTCTGGCTGACCCAGTAAGTAAATGACAGAACTGCAATGTTCCTTCTGTGCTGCCCAGTCTGAGTCATGGTGCAGAGTTAATTTCAAGGCAACAAGTCTGTGATGCTTTAAATCCTTCCTGGAACTTCTGCACGGAGCTGCTGAAACTGGGCATGGTCTGTCCCTGTTACAGCCCTCGTACCACAAGGAGGAAAACAAAAGCAATCTCCACTTAGGCAAAGTATGCAAAAAACAGATGTTCCCCTTCTGTCTGCTGCCTGGAAGCTGACTAGTGAAGCACCGCTGGAGACAGAAGGATTGTGGATGGATTGGACCAAGTCAGTATCATTTAGCTCCTTCAGGTCCTAAGGCTTTGGCCCTTGCAGAACTTAAAGTCTTTTTTCCTGGCTCCTCCATGTCTTGTGCTCCAGGTGGATGGTGTAGTCTGTTGCTAGATACTGCTCCTTCTCAAAGACATAAATGTTATGAGTCAAGTTGTATGGACAGCTCTGTGAAACAAAATGAGTCCATGTCTTTCCAGTCCACTGTGTGATTAGGGAGCTTGAATGTTTGCTTAATGGAGCAAAACAGCTTGTGGGAAAAAAGGTCCTCTCTGGCTTTTCTGATTCTCTGCAGCAGGGCCTGATTGTATAATTGATGATAAATGTTCATCTGGTTTTCATACATGGGGCCCAAGCACATCACCTGTGCACACTAACTCCGTGCTAATACAAGAACTGGAAGATGCTGTCAGGCAGCTGATGGCAGGGCAGGAGGCAGCTACAGGGCAGAAGGGGTGCTGTGGCAGGAGGGCCTCCCCTCCATCCCGCGATCTGCTGTGTACCCTGCACGAGCCCAAAGGCAGAGGGGGAGCCTGTGGTTCTGTTTTGGTTTTTTTTTTTAGAAGTCCACCCAAGGTTCTTTATCATGTCTCTGGGAAGCTCTGACTGCATCAGCTGATAGCATTATTTGTACCACAGCCACTGCTGTCTGCAAGAAAAAGGATTCATGTGTTACCATGAATCAGCAGATGGAAGACTTTTTGTTGAGCACTCTCCTTCTCATGTGTTGTGGGAGGGCAAGAAATGAACAGCTCCCGTCGTCGAGCCCAAGGGCAGGGGAGGAGGCTGGGGTTCTGTTTTGGTTTTTTTTTTAGAAGTCCACCCCAGGTTCTTTATCATGTCTCTGGGAAGCTCTGACTGCATCAGCTGATAGCATTATTTGTACCACAGCCACTGCTGTCTGCAAGAAAAAGGATTCATGTGTTACCATGAATCAGCAGATGGAAGACTTTTTGTTGAGCACTCTCCTTCTCATGTGTTGTGGGAGGGCAAGAAATGAACAGCTGAGCCTCTCAGCGTTGTCTCCCAGGAGCATCGAATGAACTACCTCCAATTGTGCAATGCCTCAAATGCTGCGAGGGAAGCTGCTTCCAGGAAAAGGCAAGCCCCTCTGACAGGTGTGGGACACCAAGGAGCCAAGCACTGCACTGCGTAACATTAGAGCTACTCCTCCGCCTGAGCTGAAACCAGCCCCAGAGCTGAGAATGTGCAGAATGTGGAAGTGCAGAGAGAGCTGGCCTTGTTCTTGCTGTAAGGGGAGACTCCGACTGTAACATTAGAGCATGTTTCAGAGCTCTGGCCAGCACCAGATGAATATCTTAATAGTTTTCTCTTAGAGTTAGTCCTGGCTGGTTTGACAGACTAACCACGCTGAGGCATCTAAAGAGGAGCTGCTAGAGTTTAACGGCTCTGGGATACAGGGACTGAAACCAAAACTCAAAACAAAGCATGTGAGAAACTTGTACAGAAATATTCACCTGTGGGAGATGCACAGAAGCAGGCATGCTGGGAAAGCTGTAAGGATATGGGAAGGAGGACAACGCAGCAGGTACAGCAGGGTTCTGCTGCTGGCTAGCATTTGCCTGTACCTAAATACGTGTGTTCCCTCTGGATACAATGAGCCAGGTGACGTTCCTATTCAGCACCAAATGTCCTGCTGCCCAGTGTTCATTCCTAACAGTGCTGACACTGCATGAGTATCTGAAGTCCTAAGCGCAATGAGATGAAAACATGAGCAAAACTTAAAGCATTATAGTAATTAGCTGGGCTGTACCTTGGGAGACAGGACTCCAATCATGCTCTGTCCTGACCAGAGGCTTGGGCTTTAAGACTGAACCAACAGGCTTTTTTCCCACTGACGGCTACACACACTGGACTAATTCCTGCTCCTGAGTGCCTCTCACCACTGAAATGTAGCCTCTCCAAGCAAAGAGCAATGCCAAGGCATGCTGTATTGTAAAAAAGGCAGGGAGAAAAGTCAAGTTATGGGAATATCCTGGAATGGCCCTTTTTTCAGAGGGCAGATGATTGTTTCTGCTACACAAACATACTTTATAGTTGCCCACATCTTTTCAAAGACTGTGAAGTATCTGCTATTTTATTGGCTGAAATACTGAAGCAGAGACCAGCAGCTCAAGCAGCTTATATAGCATGTGATGCCACACTGGGAACAGAGCTCAGCTGTTGTGGGTTTGGCCACATAACCACTCCTCTGCCTACGTCTTTTATAGATGGGGCCGGGTAAGCCCTGCTGGTCATTGCCAGTCAAGTCTAACTGCTAATTGTTCCACCCAAGATTCAGAATAAAAGGATTGGCATTGAGCTTCAAGCAACAGTGTAGTTTCTGCAATAAAAGCACTGCAGTAACAGCTACCATTGCCAAAACAGAATGATGCTGAGGAAACTGCTTGGTGTCTGTAAACTCATTTTGGTGGTTGTTTTAAGCAGCAATGACCCTTCTACAATCTGTTTGGAGAGGCCCATGTCTAGGTGTTTGCAAGTCTGTCCCACTGCTCTGGAGAATGCACAGATGTGAAGCAGGATTTAGCACAAGGGTTCAGTTCACTCCTGATAAAGCCAAAGGACAGTGTCTAGAAGTGTGTGCTCCTGTAGCATAAGGAGTGTTAGACTGGGCTGTCTGTAAGCTTGTTGAGAAGAGGTTCAAGCCAGTAGCTTCTGTAGCCAAAAAGAAAAAAAGGAGATACCCTTACAACAAATGCTACAAGGAGCAACAAGGAATTCAGTCTGGAAAGATTTCTGAGCCAACAAGCCCAGCCCAGTTATCAAATAGAGAGAGGAAATACAATCAGCTAAACTGCTTCCTTTTCACGTAGTTGCTTGTTTTGCCACACCAGCGCTCTGAACAAATGTCTCTGCTGAGGCAGTGGGCTTTTGTGCCATTGCAATCCCTGTTCGTTCATATCCTTAGCAGTAAAGGGTCCCTGGAGAGTGTTACTGTACTGAGTCACTCTTTAAAGTGCGCACCAGCTTTGCACATTTCTGAGCTTTGTGGATAAATAACAGTGCCCCAGGTCCTGCTTGGCCACGGCATGGACTCTGTGCAGTCCCTGCGTTCCTGGGAGCAGTTGCAGTGGCTGTGGGAATTAGGTGATTCCCCAAGCCCAGTCCCAATTGTCTTGCTGAAGGCTGCATGCTCTGGCATAAGCATGGCACTTGCCCTTTTCCTTGATGGGTAAACAGATCCCACCTTCAGCATCCTGTTTGTATTCTTATCTGGGAAATCACTGGTTCATGGGGTTTCAGCCCAAGTGTGACGCAATTAAGAGCCTCATGTAAATATCTGTATCTACACATCCTGCTTCAGTAAACATCCAAGTGTCTGAAGCCAGACAAAGCAAGGCTGTGCTTTGTGCGAAAAAGTGCACCTCTTAGTTTCTCCATGTTGGCATTTTCATACTTTCCCCCCCCCCCCCCCCCCCCTTTCACCCTTCAGCAAACTGTAAGATCTAACTGTCGGTCATCAAATAGCATCTTCTCTTACTCCATTACTGCTAAGAACTTATTCCTGCTCGACAAAGCACTGCAAAGCCTCTGCAGTGTTAAGAACTGGTACTGTTACATAGCTTAGGGACGTGACTTTCTTTTTAATTACACCTTTGTATCAACTGAAGCGCCTGTGTCCGTGACCTTACATCAGCAAAAAGTGCTGCTGCCAGTAAAATTAATATGATCTCGGATTCTAGTTTAAGGCCTCAGATTGGGCCCCACCTCTAATCCAAACACAGTTCAGCAGTGGAACTGTCTGCCTTGTGATTAACAGTCAGATAAAAGGGTGATGAGAAAGCATGAGAGACTTCTAGATTAGTCAGATGTTGATGGGGAGGGTCAGAATTAAGTCACAATTTACACACACATTTTGCAATTAGTGTTGATGGGAAAGGAAGTGAAAACATAGACAGCAATTAAATGTGGTTTTGTTAGACTCTTCTGTTAAATGTACCCAGATGTTGTGGGGGCTTCAGCTTTTGTGTAGCTGATGTTCAGCATTTAAACTGCAAAAAAAGCAGGAAGACTGAGGTTGTGTTCTAAAATACGTCACTCTTCATCAAGTATTTGGATATAATAATCTGGAAGATGGTCCTAATACTCAGTCACAACTGAGCTAGTTGATAAAAGGGAGGGAAAATACGGCAGGAAACAATCTTAGGTCTCTCCGTTTCTGCTATTTCCGTATTTCTAAGGAAAAATGAAGGAACCTGTTCATTTCAGGTAACAAAATAACCCTTCCAATCTCTGGGAAAGGCTCTGGAATAAGCACCAGGAAGACTGGCTGACTTCAAGGTGGGTCTTGATAAGTAGAAAATTGAGATTATATTACATGGATAACCAGGAAGTCGCAGTCAGCCTGTGTCCCATAAAGAGAAGTTTTGAGTTACTGAAAAAAAACCCTGTGATGGAAGTCTTTTCTCCCGCCTGCTGTTCTGGTTATGTACTGCTCTAGCAGTTGCTATCAATAGGTTTGTCATTTGGTGATGAATCAGGCCTCTGCTGAAACCTCTCTTTTGCCTGAAGTGAGTGGGTCCCTTTTAGCCCAGTTGTGACAGTGAATGAGAAAAGCCCAAGATCCAGAACCTAGATGTTAGGGAAGGTGTATTATTTACTGCTTGCTTCTGCTGTTTTACAATTAGTTTGTGCTAGAGGTGGTACAAAGATCTGCTGACTACCATCACATTTCTGCCAGGGCTTCTAATTAAAACACGGGGCAACAGATGGTATACCCAGAAGCCTAGAGAATTATTGTGAAAATGAAGGGAAGAATGAAATTCCAGAGGAACTGTGTTCCTTTCTGAAGGATGCCAAGTCCTAACATTGCAGGGCAGCATTGAGATGCTTAAGAAGGACTAGCCTGCAAGAAAAGTTTTCTTGTTACTAATTAGCTTTGCCTATGTCCAATTGACTGAAAACCAGGTGAGGAGATAGAGCTCAAGACCTGCAGTGACGAGCAACCATGTCATAGACAGTTAATCAAGAAGCACCCAGATAATCTCCACAAGCCATAGAAACAGCCCAGCACTGTTTTGTCAGAGGACAATCCTGGCACCATGTGTGCAAAAGACCAAATCCCACAACACTGGAATGCACCACAGGAAAGACCAAGCTACTTGCTTCAAGCCTCTTCTCTCAGCTGGTGATAGATCCAGTCTCCCTGCTTACTCCCACTGCTCAAGGCTGAAATGTCTGCTGTGGAGCTAGGCATATATGCATGTGAGTATATATATATATTGTATATATATAGTACTCACTTAGTTGGGTGTCTGTGGGGGAAGACAAACATGGGGAGAAAAAACAGGGCACACTGTCATCCCATAAAACACAAAATATTGCAAAGCCTCAATATTCACAGTGGGATGGGAGACAACACCAAGCAAGAGCAAGAAGGAGTAACAGTGGCACGGCAGTCAAGCAACAGTGATACTTTCCCATTTTCGCACCACAAGATGAGGAGGATTCAATGACATTTCTAGTAAGTCTGCCCTATTAGACATCTGTGTTTAAAAAGAGTTTGCGTGAACCTTTGCAGTAGAGGAACAAATATCTTGGGGGTGACACAAGAGTTTGTTTACATGCACAGATGCCAATTCAGTGCACGTGTACTAGCAGCACCTGAAGTGGGGCTTGCATTAGAAGATGAGGAACGCTTTTCCCCAAATTTGCAAATGCTTCCCCCGTGCATGGGTAGGGCTGAATACAGCTGCAGAGAGTGACACAAATGAACTGCAGAACCTGGGCTGCTGATCTTCAGTGCTGACAGATGTTCCCAAAGTCACCCTGCTTATATTCTCAGAAATAGATTTAAATCCATTTCATTCACATTTACAATTCAAAACTACCCCCCAAAAGAATGAAATTGTAGCAGCAGGTTGCAGCTTCTGCTGTCACCTGCCCTCCAGCCTGGCTTTTCACACCCGTATCAGCTGTCAGCACAAGTGTCATGACCTGGATTCAAAGATGCTTTTTAAACCTCTGATTACACGGCCTACTTTCTGGCTATGGAAATGAGGCCAGGTGGATTCTATATTTAAAAGCCTGCTAAAGACCATGGCTAAAATAGCTGACAACGCTACCAGAGTATTGGGGCTTAAAGGGTTTCACAGTGCCTCCATGTCAGAGAGAAGTGCTGGCTTTTATCTCCTTGTTTCTCATTTCATTAGTTTTGTTTACTAACAGGATTTTAGGCATCTCAACAGTGTTGTGTCCTTCTGCCTCTCCCCTTATTATCCCAGAGGCAGTTCCTCTCCCAGTGTTTGTGTGTGATCTCTAACCTTTTTAACAGAAGACCAGTTTGCCACTAACACCACACCCTGGCTTTCCTGTACCACCCAACACCAAAGAAGCTACAGGCTGCAAACAATTTCCAAGTACCCCCATAGTCATGGCCAAAATGAGGAGGTGCTCAAGGAGAACGGGGACAGCATGACTCTCATGAAACTGTCTCCTGCAGCAGCTGTATTTGAAGTATAAGGTCTCAGTTCTTCTAGTACCAGTACAGCTCCGCTCCTTTTCTGCTTTCCTAAATTGTTTCTCAGACCTGCTGCTCTCTCTTTCAGGACATACTCCTGCTTGCAAGTGCCTGCCCACGCTGGAGCTGAAACATTACCTGGGTTTTACCTTCTAAAGACAAGTAATACTTCCTCTTAAAGGATTTGCCGGGCTAGTCCATGAGAATGACACATAGCATTTGATTTGCCACAGAGCCAACCGTGCCAGCAACCTCTGAAAAGTTTGTGAAGGAGCAAAGGTGGTAGGTACAAGACAGGTAAAAGGTATCGTCCCTCTCTTTATGTATGCAGTTTTTACAAATGGATTTATCAAGCCTAGAATTAATAGAAATATTAAGGTGCTTTTTTAAAAGGTTTCAGGGGTGGAAAAAATCAAGTTTTCCACTGCCCAGACTTATAACAGCCCTTGCAGAATCACACCTTTCCCTGATTCTGCAACGAATCTGGCTGACCCTGTGTTCAGCCTGGCTGAAATACATCAAATTAAATGAGGTATAAAGATTTGTGCTTTTATGCTCTAATAGTTTTAGGGTTAGCAGCTTGGCCTGGGTACATAGTGTCGACTTTTATTCTGATGGTGCATCTCTTAGAAGTGTGAAAAAAGAAAGTCCAACAAACCCAAACTCTATTAGTCAAATTGTGTAAGTGCCTTTCTATCCCGAGGAAAAAACAGTGCAGTGCAGTGGCTAATACCAGAGAAAGAGCCATTATGGGTATGGTTGGCAGGTCACTGGTTTTACTATGAAGAGTCTTACTAAATATGCCTGGAATCCAGTTTTCTTATACTGCCCTGGGCTATGATACAGTGTTTATACGGGGGCTACAAAATACTAAATTTTACAGGCTTGGCTTTCCGTGGATGACCTGTGGAGGCTGTCCACAAAGGAGCTAAAGAAAGTAGCTTACCTCCTTGCCAGCTTGGCTGCATCTGCTGCAGCACTTCCGTTGACTAGAAGGGACACGTTAGATACCGCACCAGCCAGGAAGCAGTCCACGATGCCTTGGTTTCTCCGAGGACAATAGCCAAAGTCATCTCCAGTTACTATTAGCTTCACCTGAAGCATCCTTAGAGGTCATCCCTAGCAAAAAAGTGAAGGAGGGAAAATCGGAACGATCAGCAGTCTGCGGAGCAGAGGCAAACAGGAAAAGACCGGCTCAACGGGGGCGAACCCAGTCGTGACTCAGCCCCTGCCTTAACTCCTCCTGCTCCACCTCGGCCGGGCCCCCCTCCGCAGCCCTGCCGTTCCCTGCGGGAGCGCAGGCTCCGGCGCTGCTGCAGATGAGGAGGGTGCAAAAGGTCAGGGGCTTGGGGGGCTGATTTAATCGCCTGAGGGTGCGGCCGCGGTTCACGTTCCTTTCCCCGCTGCACACCCTCGCCGGCGGTGCCCGGTGAAATGGCACCGGTGCGAAGCACCTG